GCCGGGGGTCGCGCCGGGTGTTGGAGTGCGGGTCGGCCTCAGGGATGGCGGGCCGCGGGGAAACACGGGCGAGAGGGTTGGGTCGGGCCGGGCTGGGCCAAGCTCCTCATCCGCTGTATCCCCTCGCGGTGATCCCCTGTTCCCCGCGGTGGGACTGTGCAGTGCAGCCTCAGCCGCGGGGCAGCGCACCAGGAGTTGTGCTCTTGCCCAAACGGAGGCTTCTGGGTCTTCCTGTGTTCCGGTTGTCCTCCAGAAGAGGGGTCTCTGCCTGGGCAGCTCTCCCCCAGCCGGCAGCGATGAGGAACTGTCCCATCCTCTCAGCCCCCACTGCTCCTCTCCCCTTCTTAAAGAATTGTGTCAGGGCCTTTGCATGGCGATTCAGAGAAGTTTGTGTGGAGAGGAGGACTCACCTGTGCTCAGTACAGAACAGTCATGTTTGTTAGTTATACTAAATGTCTGCTATATATCTCACGGGGTGCACTGCTATTAACCTGGCCTGTCCAGCTGGGAGGACCAGCCAGGATCTGCTGTCTACTAGAGGCATGGCAATCCTCAAAGTTTCTCTAAGGCCCCTGTGACCAGCTTGCTAGATGGGAGTTGTTTTCCAGGGCTGGACAAGGGGAGCAGGGTGCTGAGTGGTGGGAGCAGGGTACTGGATAGTGCTAAACCCATGAAAGAGCCCAGCACGGTCAAACAGGCACGAACACCCATAACAACCTGGAACTAAAGCATATGTATCTGGATGGTTGTTTAAGAAAATACAGTTTTGGCTTGTACCATCCATTTTCCCTCCTTGTCCTGTGGGAGGGGAGCAGTCTGAAAGATGTGAGAAGGGCTTGTGGCACTGGAGGAGGATTGCCTGCATATTGCTGTGGGTGTCTATACACCCATCTCTCCAGGCCTACTGGTACTAAATGTAGTCGCGGTGCCTCACTTCCCTGGACAGGTTTTCTGCCTTCTCTGAAAGCTGCTTGTTGGCTCAGGACTGGGTCCAGGTAGTGAGATCTTCCTCACCAAGGGCTCAGCACAGTGAGGTGTCTGTGTTGTTATAGCCTGTACTCCGGCTGCTGAGGAGCTATACCTGTGGGGTGGACATGGCTGGGCTGAGCCTTGTTCCCTTGATCCACAGAGAGCTTGTGCTGTTCTTGGTGTGCAGCATGGACGTGTCTGCACAGCCAGGAAAAGAGCCAACACTGACTGGTAGCTTATTTCAGCATAGAGGTACCATCTCTGCTCCTGCTGGTGAATCTCTTCCCCAGACAAACACAAGCACTTCCTGGGCAAATTTGTACTAAGGTTTTACAAGACTGATGCTGTGGTTTTTGTGTAGGAAAGACCACAGGATCAGGAGAAGAGCTGACAGACTTGTAAGCAAATCTTGGCTTAGCCAGTCTTTGAGTTGTGATGAGCAAAGCACAGGCCAGAGTGGTAGCCCACTCCCTAGTCAAAGTGCTGCTCAATGTCATTCTGGGCATCTCCTAAAATGCACTTGGTATCTTACTAAAACAAAATTGTCTCATTCTAAGCTTCTACCTCCAGGAGTTGAACGCTTTTCTATGTCAATCTTCTTCTCCCAACTTATTAAGCTGAGCAGTAGATAAGTTAGAGCAAGGCAATGGAAAACAACAGCATTGAATCCTGTGGACATGGTTTCTTCCTCCTCTCCACACATGTTTGTGTGGAGAATTGGAAAACCTCTGGAGAAAACAATGGAAATATGGAAGGGAAGAGCAGACAACACCGAGGGGGCAAGGCAGGATTTATCGGGGGCATCAAAACACATTGTAGATACAAGCCCCTTCACCTCGCTTGGGGAAGAGACAGCATGCCTGGCAAGAACTACACAAACACAATCTTTCCTGTGGGCAAGGATGAGGAGCCATAGCTGTGCTGAGGGGAGGGGGGGTCCTCCCACACCCACAGTGACAGTCCATACAAACACTGCAGCCTCACTTCTGGGCTAGATCTCAGATGCTGCTGACTCGTGGAGAGTGTTATCTAAAGGGTGCCCTGCTAGGAGGCGCCTGTGTCCTAGTTATTTTGTCCCACACCAGGGAAAGCCTGTGGTGTAGCTTTGCTTGCCGGGCTACTGCTGGCTGGTACAATTGCACCAAGATGTGAATTCCCCTTGCCTAGAAACACCCAAATTCTTCCTCCTACTTCCTCTGCTGGGAGAAATCAGCCCAGCCTCTTCTTGATCCGATGGCAAAAGAAAGAAGGAAAACCGGAAGCAAGTGTCAGATATAAAGTCATCTGTAGCGGGCCATGCTGTTACAGACTCACAGACTCACAGACTCACAGACTGGTTGAGGTTGGAAGGGACGTCTGGAGATCATCTGCTTGAGCCCTGCTCAAGCAGGGTCACCTAGAGTACGTTGCCCCGTATCGTGTCCGGGTGGCTTTTGAACATCTCCAAGGAAGGGGACTCCACAACCTCTCTGGGCAGCCTGGTCCAGGGCTCAGTCACCCTCCCAGGAAAGAAGTTTTTCCTCACGTTCAGACGGACTTCCTGTGTTTCAGCTTGTGCCCGGTTGCCCCTTGTCCTATCACTGGGCACCACCGAGCCCATTGCTGCCTCACGCTCAACTTGTTGTCCCCCAGCACTCCCAGGTCCTTCTCCGCAGAGCTGCTTTGCAGCAGGTCAGCTCCCAACCTGTGCTGGTGCGTGGGGCTATTCCTCCCTAGGTGCAGGACCCTGCACTTGCCTTTGTTGAACTTCAGGAGGTTGCTCTCTGCCCATCTCTCCAGCCTGTCCAGGTCCTTCTGAATGGCAGCACAGCCCTCTGGGGTATCAGCCACTCCTCCCAGTTGCGTATCAGCCGCAAACTTGCTGAGGAGGCCCTCTGTCCCTTCATCCAGCTCATTGATGAAGTTGTTGAACAGGAGTGGACCCGCTATTGACCCCCCCCGGGGGACACTGCTAGCTACAGGCCTCCAAGTAGACTCTGTGCCGCTGAGCACAGCCCTCTGAGCCCTGCCTGGCGTTGCCCCGGGGAGCAGAAAGCGGTGCTGCTGGGCCCAGCGTTATTTCAGAAACGCCGGCGTGTAAGGGCCTTTCCAAGAACCTGCCTTGTTCCCTTTCCGTGGTCGATAACACTGAGCTTGCGCACGGCTGCTTCTTGAACGCTCCCTCAGGGAGGAACTGAGCGTTGGGGCCCCCCTGAGGAGGGCGCGGCCCCCTCATTGCCTGCGCACGAGGCCGGCAGACCTCACTTTGAGAGTTTGGCTTTGCCTTTTGCAAGGAGTATTAGAAGGGAAAAGCCCCAGCTCCGCTGCAACGCAGGAGTGCTAGCGGGGCAAGGCGTGAGGCCTCAGAGAGGGGCAGAGAGGCTGGTGAGGCAGGAATGAGGGAAGGGTCAGAGGAGAATGGGAAAGAGAGAGACCCCAGCAAGCAGACAGGCACCAGACAGCACCGGTGGGAGCTGCTGCACTCTCGTGCTGGCTCTCGGCCCCAGAGGTGCCTTCCCTGGGGTCTGGCCAGCCTGTGGGTCCGTTCAGGCTTTGTGCTGGGGGAAGGTGGCTCCAGGCCATGCCAGGGAGTGGCCACCGTCCGCCAGGGCCATCCTGGAGGAGAAACCGCAGCGTTTTGTAGTGGGACAGGGCGAGCAAAAGACTCGGAGCCCAAGGCAGAGCTCTGGCAGCATTTTGGCGGCTGAGTCACAAACTCTCCCCGCAAAACCTTCCCCTCATCTCTTGACTAGCAAGAGAGTCCCTAAAACGTCCTGCTAGGGCATGGCCCAGAGCAAGAGCCTCCCGGGACGGGGGCTGCCTGCTCTCCTTGCACCCACGTGCCCCTTTCGGGTCCCTCCAAAGCTGCCCTGCCGCCCCTTGCAGTTTCACACCCCACCAAGGAAAGGCTCACACCAGCTCGGAAAGGCAGTTTACTTCCAGAGCAAAAACCCCTTTCCGTTGTCACCGCCCAGCTTGTGGTCCCGCTGCTCGTTGCTCTGGAGGCTGCACATCACCAAAGCGCTGAGGGGTTGAGGAGAAAGATGTTGAGCCACTCGTGGCGCGCAGGCGCCTTCTGGAAATCCAGTGGCGCATCCCGGCCCCCCACCCCGTTTCAGTGGAAGGGATGTGTGAGTCCAGGCCAAGCTCCAGAGCCGCTTCTGTGCCCTGGGGTGGGGGGTGGGGGAGGGCACAGGAAAAGACCCTCTTTCTCCCCCAGGCCGTGGCACAAAGGGCTTTGCAGGAGGGGGGAACCCTGCCTGGGTTGGGAGCTATTTACCGGCGATCCTCCTCCTCCTTCTTCAGCCTCTGGCGGTTTTGCTCCACCTTTTCCTTCCAGCTGTCCCGAAGAACTTTGTAGGATGCCGTGAGCTGCACGTTCTGCTTTGCTCGCGGCGACAGTTGCCTGCAGCAGGAGTAACAAAGTCCCTCTCCCGCTCTCCTGGTACCCTTTGGGCCTCTTCCCTCCCCAGCCCCTGCACACCCACACCAGCAGAAATCAGGGGCTGTCGCATGCCACGCCCCGGAGCTGAGGGATTTGGGGTGCCGGCACCTCCAGGGGGTCATGGCCCACCAGCCCAAGCCCCTGGCTTGGAGCTCGCGCGCCTGTGCACACTCACTTTTTGGGTGGCATGCCTGTGTCTAGGGAACAGCGCTGGTCAAGGTGAAGCTGCTTCGTCAAAATTCGGATCTGTTTTGCAAGGGCAAGAAGAGCAAAGGGTTTCAGGACGGAGGGCTGAATGGGGGAGACAGCACTGGCCCACCCGCAGGGGAGGAGCCTCGTCCTTGTATAGCCATGCGCAGGCTACACAAGGAGCTGCTACAGCGGGCTGCCCTAGCTGGGGCC